ATTGTTTTATTGCAAAGATTTCAGCAATAAGAGTGCTAAATGTGTTGTCTTCGATCTAAGGTTATTTTTAGGAACACGATGGTATCATACTAGAAAAGTGCGACTCACAGTTTGTTGTCAACATGATCGGGCTTTGGCATCTGATATCCCTTTGTGACCTCTGCAATCACCAAGGTAGACTCTACTCCGACATTTATATATATATATATATATATATATATATATATATATGTATGTATGTATGGCCAAGAAGTATGTGAAAACAAATCTTTATTAAAATAACAGTAATTAAAATAGCATCACTTCTATAGCGCATGCACATTGCTGTTCTAAGCGTTAAAGGTATTGATTGAAAATAACTTAGCTTACCAAGGGTAACTATCTCATACAGAACGATTCCATAGGACCACCTGACGGGAGCATATCAGAAATATTCTACAATTAATCGCTGAGAGAACTTCGGACGTGAAATGATAAAGAAAAATCCAAAGGTGATAGGTTCGTTAGGTTGGCGAGTTGATATACATAACTATACATACACGTCACTCAAGGTGGAAAGTCCAGCAAGCTCTCCTAGCAGAATCTCTGGTGCAGTCCATTTGATTGGCAAACGTCCCTGGAAAATCAACCGATAAATGATTTCCGTACAAAACTTATGTCCCTTTTTTTTCAAAGCCATCTTTAAAAAATATGAAGCTACATAACGTAAATATGTGAAAAGAAAGCTACATTTGTCGTTCCCTTATCGGTCAATCCAAGGTTAGCCTTCGTAAAGCGGTCACGGAAAACAGAAAATGTACCTTCTTTCGCGAGACTTTCTACGAAAAAAATTAGTGAAATTGACAAATCCCGATGCCCGGAGTACCTATCCTGTTAAATAACTAACTCTGTTTTGTTTTGCTTTTTTCTTGTAAGTCAAAGTGAGCTATGAAACCCTGTTGATAGTCCATGTACATTAACTTTATATAGAGAATATGCTAACGCTTACAACTCGTTTCCAAAAATAACCGCACTGAAGCAACAAAAAAAGTGTTTTCTACCTTTTTGGCATTTCCATGGCCATACTTGAAGCTTTGATATGCCATACCAAAGTCCGTCACTTTGCAAACATAGTTGTTATCGAGGAGAATGTTTCGAGCCGCCAGGTCACGATGGATAATCTACCAGAAGATAAGAAGCCAGAATATAAAGGTTAAGAAACGATAGGTTTTTATAGTACAGCGGCGAATCAAACATCTGAGTATGTTTGAACGAAAAAAAGGCTCAAACTAAGGTAGCCCTATATAATGTTGTAATGCTGACAAAACCAAGATTTCTACTTTCTTTATCAAAAAAATTGGATTCTTTTACAACAGCGAAAATAACGATGATGATAATAATGATAAAGATTATAGTCATAACCATGCTAATAATCATAATAATTATGATAATAAAATGAAATTTAGAAGTAGTAAACCAACAGAGGACCCTTTGTGTTCCAAAAAAGAAAAAGACAAAATTATTTAATCTTTACCTTTGTTTCTTTTACAGATTTCTAAGGAGTTCCATTTTTACCTTTGTTTTGTTTTTTTTTAGGTGTCGCAATAAGGTTTTATATATATATATATATATACATCGCTCTACTCCTATGTATTGAGCACTGTTTTACGAAAGTCAAATTTATATATATATGCGCTATCAGTGCATACGCGACCTTTGACAACTGCATGGGTCTGTTTTTTTACGCTTAATTTTACACCATCCCAGATAATCATAGCTGGGATTTTTTGAGGCGCGGGAACCGAATTATTTTGAACCTTATTTTCGTTTCTTTTGGCTCTTTTTTTTTTTTTTTTTGACATCTGCGCTGACCTACTAATGTCAACAAAGAGGTTTATCTAATTCAAAAGCACTCATAAATGTTGGCCAAAATCCGAGCTATTGAAAAATAAAAAGTTTAAATCTCTGAAAGATTTTTCTGAGTTAGAATTGACATGTGACAAGTATTCTACTTACACCTCGCGTTCCAAGGAACACCATGCCGGCGGCGATTTGTTTGGCAAACAACACGAGATCGTAGTTGTTCAAATCCTGAGCTCTTCCCTCACCAAGATAAAACCGATCCCTCACTCCTCGGCATTTTCTGAGGTAACCAAGTAGGTCACCACATGGCAAGTACTCCATGATGAGTATGGGGTGAACTTAAGTGACGTATCAAAGATAAAATTACTGATGGCTTTCTTCATAAAGCAGTTTAGCTTACACGAAGGACTCATTCTTTTAGGATCTACCTTCATCAGAATTTACTTTCAAAAATTTGCTACAGGTTAAAGGGAGAAAGCCGGTTAGCCCCGTTAACGAGATTTCAAGCTATCCAACCGAAATCTTAATGAACTGTCGATGGATACATACTCTCGAAGAGAAACAGTCTGTTTGCCACAAAAAAAAAAAAAGACGAACTTGGCTCCATTAACATCCTAGTTACGGATCTCATGTTAAGAGCTCTCAAGAGGGTTCATTCAGCATTTATAGTATCGTTAATAACATATACTCAGAAAAGATGCTGTACGCTTAGTACTTACTTTCTGTCGTAACGCAGCCCATGAACTTTACAATGTTTGGCGAAACGTTTTCACCGATAAGTTTCCCCAGCTCAATTTCTCTCATCAAACATTTCCTTCCTTCCTCTCCAGCAGTGGCTACAACAAAAGTATACATTGACAGAGACACATTCTGATTAATAGATTTATTGCATGCAAGTTCAAGCCAGAAAGAATCCGGTAGAGTTACAAACCTTGCATCTTCTTATTACCGTTTGGATGATAATTTTCGCAGCTAGCAGATTGCCCAACTCACTGACTTCAGCCATGGCTGAGTTGACTGTGAGTATAAAGACCGAACTGGAAGTTTGAATCCTACCAATAGCTCTTGCTTTCTTTAGTTTTACCATCATTGCAGATGCTTCACATCTTTCGTTCGGTAAATATCATTTGCCAGCGAAAAGCACCATGTAGTCAGTCTGTTAGACTGCCAACTTCAACCCAGGATAATCAGTTACTAGTAAGTGGGGAATAGGTCCAAAGGGAGAAATAAACCCTACTGGATTCAGCTGCGGATCTAGAGGGAGGATCCAGCGTATCCGCAACACCTCACCCTCCCGGTGGGAGTGGGGTGTGGCGGATACTAACCCACACTAAACCCCTTCTAATCTATGCCTGTGACCTTTTACACTACTTGTTGGAAACAAGAATTATTGCAGGATCACTTTTACGACCAAACTGGTTGATTATCTTCTTTTTTTGTTTGCTCCTTCCCCCGCCGTCTTTTTTTTCCCTCGCGTAACCTTGAGTGAAGAAGAGGAGGGTGTGCGTTGGTCGAGAAGAAATTTTAGACCACCCCTACCCCCCCTCCCCAAATAAAACATTTTTATAGCTACCCCTGAGATTAACATATGTATCAATTGAACAAATCGAAGAAGGCTTACGCGTGAAACATTTAGCGGCTACTGTTCGATTTCCAGGTTGTCCATTTGGTGAACTCAGGAGAGCTCTCCACACGGCTCCGAACGCCCCTCGTCCAATGACGTCCTGAAGCAGGACACGGTTGACCGCAACCTCCCACTCATCTACCTCTGCATTCAATGGCTCCATCTGAATTGCCTGTTCTTGGTCAGGACTAAATATTGGAAATTAACATTGTATACTTTCAGGTTCAAAACAAAGAAAAGTGATAAAAAGAAAAGAGAAATCAGAGAGTAAAAAAATTAATTTGCCAGGATAACTTGATTGGCGAGATAATCTCTCTTGCCGATAGTGAGAAAACAATGTTTTTACTAAACCAGGAGCACAAATTATTACAAAACATATCAGTAATTATTGTTATTTAAGTACACTTTGTCAATCGGATGAAGTCCAACAATAGCTTCGTCGTTTGTTAAAATTAAACAAGAAACAGTTGGTTTGAAAACCAGAAAATTTTACGCGCATTTCAATTTTTTTTCAAAGTATGAAATCTATGAATTAATCAAACCGAAAATAGATGGAAGATACTAATGAGATTAAAAAAAATAAACAAAGGAACTAATGAAGCTGATTCTAACAACACTTGATGAGTGTTCATAATGCATCGTAAACAAGATAAAAGTAAAGTGACTGCGATAGAATTTTTGTTATCGTCATCATGCAATGGTGTAGTTTTTTTCTTTTTCTCGATGAATTTGATGAATAAAAGATAAAATAGTTGACTTACAGAGCCGTAACTGCAATTCCAAAATGATGAATTAAAGGGGACAAAGAAGGTAAAACTTTGCATTAATTTATTAAATCGAATGTTCCAATAAAATTTCTGTGTAATGGCAGTATAGTGTGAATTTGCACAAACTAGGAGAGACGTGATATTTGCTGAATTTATAATTATTATCAAAACACCGTTATCAATAATGGCAATAATAATGATGATACCATATACAGATGTGAAAAAACTCTACAATTGGCATTTTTTGGCCGCACGCGAGTTATTCTTATAAAAATATCTCTACTTTTAGACTCTTAGCTCAGTGTTCCCCATCCCCCCCGCCCTAGTGGACATGTTAAATAAGTTTAAATATTTCCTTCTTTTACTTTCAGTCAGAGAAATCTGAAATAACAGAAAAATGGACGTCACCTGTCCTTCGACGCTTGCAGAAATACCAAGCAATCAGCGAAATGATAATCGCTGCCGCCACTGTTCCACCAATGTAATACCACAAAATGTTGAAACTTTGCATAGCTCGTGGCACTTGCTTAGCTAATTGTGTAGGATAAATATGCGGCCATTAGACAAATCTCGACGATTGTAACAGTACTAATAAAATTCAAGTTGTTTGGGGTAGCTTTGGAATAGCTTGGTACATTATTTATACCGTGATTGACACCTGCTCAAAAAAACGAAATACCTGATGTTCATAGAGCGATGCAAGGTAATTTCATGCAAATAGGTCGTGTGACCCATTTTCGTTTCGTCTTTAACTGAAAAATAGGATTACTCTATTTGGAAATCTAATCGGTAAAGTTGCATGATTTTTTTTAAAACACAACGGTAACGCCAGCTTACCTTTGATTTTTTTTTTGTGACCCATATTCGTCTCGTCTTTAACTAAAAAATAGTTTTAATCGATTTGGAATTATACTTTTTAATCGGTGAAGTTATTGTTGTTGTTTTTTTTAAGACACAACGGTAGCTTACCTTTGACGTTTATTTTTACAAAGGAACGGGCAACAAAACCGAGCTTGTTACGTGCCTCACAAGAATACACACCACTGTGCTCCTTCACAACTTCAGTTATGACAAATTTACTCTTTTTGTCATCGAATCGTGTATCAATCTTTGCTCTTTCGGGTGGTGAGTCTCCATCTTTTTTCCACGTTACATTCATTGTTTCTTCGTTGACGATGCAGGTCAATGTGAGGTTGTCTCCTGCTGTGAGTGCTGGATACTGATCTGGAACAACTTGAGCAGAGGCTTTTCCTACATCAAGAAAAAAGCAATTGATTAAAATCCTGGTCCATATTCGTCACCCTCATCGTCAGCATCAGTTCAGTGTCAGCGTCACGTCATCTCCATTGCCATGGTTATCGACGGCGTTAAAAAGAACAGAAAATGAGAAGAGTAAATGGAAGAGAAAAAGTACACGTCAGGTTCAAACTGTCTCCTTCTATGATGAGATTACTTGCTCCAGAAATATCCACGTTTTACATGAGTTCACGTATAAAAATGTTAAAGTGGAACACAAGATTTGCAATTTCTTAATAGCGGGAGATGTTTTAATTATTTCTTTGGTCACGGGTTTAGCTTCATTTACAATCTGGGTGTTTGTAAGTCAGAATCAAATTGTACGTGACCAGGAACCCTTTTCTGGATAAAAAAAGAGTACTGATGTTGGTGATTTAAAACAAGTTATATGAATTTTAATTTGAAATCTATTTCCAACTTTAATCATTAATATTTAGCGTCATTGTTACGGTCAGCGTCATCGTTACGGTCATCGTCATCGTCATCGTCATCGTCATCGTCATCGTCATCGTCATCGTCATCGTTATCGTTATCGTTATCGTTATCGTCATTATCATTAAACTTACCGTAAACACGCAGTGTTGCAGAGGAACCAGTTGTGTTTGCTTTATTTTTCGCTTTACACTTGTAAGTCCCTTCCATCCCTTTTGTGACGCTTAAAAATTCCAGAAATGATTCTCCTTCGTGATTGAATTGATTGATACCAGATGGCAGGTCAGCATTATTAAAAACCCAGACTAATGTTGGTGTTGGCACACCTGAGGCTCGGCAACTAAAGTTCACAGAGTTTCCCTCGGTAACAGACTGGTTTATTGGAGGCTTTGTGATCTGGGGAGATGCTTAAATTACAAAACAAACAAACAAACAAAATTAATAAGGTTTGCATAGTCCATTTTAACCCTATTTATCCAACCTTTGATAAAACGACGAAACAACCACAACAACAAAATCAAAACAAAACACGTGATATTCAAGCCTATTTTTGACCAAGGTCAATTTTTCCAAAGGTTTGCTTCGATTTCAGCATAAAAAAGATATCGTTTAGCCTTAAGTTGTCCCAGTTGTCCCAATAACATTCATCCTTTTCTTGTTGGTTGTTGAGTGTGATGTAAAAAAAAAAATTTTCAATGACTATCAGTTTCTCTTTTTTAACAGTATATATTGAATTCCAAAAGCTATTAGGCGATGATGATCAAAACAATGTAAAACATTTGCATTCTGAAATAGAAAAAAGAAAGGAAATCTGTCATTTGATGTATCCAAATTGCGTATTTTAACATGAGTTCACGAATAAAAATGTTAGAGTGGACCACAGCATTTGGAATTTCTCAATAGCGGGAGGTATTTTATTTGTTTATTTGGTCACGGATTTAGCTTCATTTGCAATCTGGGTGTGTGTAAGTCAGAATCAACTGCACGTGACCAGGAACCCTTTTCTAGAAAAAAGAGTACTATGTTGGTAATTTGAAACGAGTTATATGAATGTTCGTTTGAAATCTCTTTCCAACTTCAATCATTAATATTGACGTAATGATACACTCCTATCGAAGTTGATGTACTACCTTTAACACTAATGAAAATTTATCATAACATCATGACTCCTTAGTTCCTTGGTCATTGATATTTTTAAAGGAAATGGATGAAAAGAGAGTAAAAGAGAGGTCTATTTAAATTTGGCTAAAACTTCAAAAACAAACGCTTTTTTAAGTTACAAGTTTGCTAAATGACGTAAACTACAATATAGAGTTTACCTGTTACATCGATCCAGAAGGAAGAGTTTGCTTCGCCATAATCATTTTTAGCAGTACATTCATAATTGCCTCTATCTTTCAGTGTAGCTTGTCTAATAATCAAGGTGTTGTTTTTACTAAGTAGCACTCCATCCTTGGTCCAGTTGACAGATACTTCTGGATCACCTCTCAAATAACACTTTTTTGTAAATGTGGAGTTCAATGCAATGGTGAGATTTCTAAACTCATCACTAACACGGGGTGGAACTGCAAAGTAAGCACATAAATACAAATTGCAAAATAAGAAGCCACCCAACGGGCCCCCCCCCCCCCACACCCACAAAAAGAAAAATAATAAGTTTAAACAAATTAATAAATAACAATTTGAAAAGAAGAAACCAAGAACTATTTTTTGATCATATCAAACAAATACTTGATCAGCAGGGATTTGCTAAAGCAAAGGCATAGAAAAAACCAGGAAAGATTTATTACTCGACGTTTCGGGGTCATCGTGACTCCATTATCAAGAGACTAGTTTAAAAACATGCAAATAAGGAAAGGTACAAGAATAGCATAAATTAGAATGAACGGCTTAAACAAACACCTTGGCGCGGATGGAATCCGTTTGCACGTTCAGTGTTGGCTTACGCATGCGAATATACAACATTTCATTAACAAGGCAATCAAATTTGCCGTTACATTTCGCGATGACGTTGAATTGCTCGATCAAGCGTTCAGGCATTTCACTATTGTGCTGGAGGTGGTAGTGTTTGTAGATAGAAGATGATTTCCTTGTGTGCCCTTCTACGCGCTCGTGTAAGTGACCACGAGTGTAGCCCACATACCCTGCATCACACAGGTTACATTTAAATTCATAAACGATACATTGTTGGTTAACAATAGGGGGCTTAATTTCGTGTTGCTTAAGCTGTTGATCGAGCTTAGGGCTAACGAACACTGGTTGGACAGTCACGCTTAACTTCGAGCTTAGACTGTTCAGTTGTTGTTTAACATGATTAGCTGACGACTGGTCCTTGAAGGGTAACACTAATCTCACAATCTCCGATGGTACGTCTGGTGATGGACAGGGCTCTGCAGATGAAATCCTTCTCTCAACGAACCGCTTGATTGTAGTTTCAACCAGTGGCTTTGGGTATTTCAAGTTATGAAAAACCCCTCTAAGGCGGTCACATTCCTCGGAGAAGAAAGACCAGTTAGAAGATAATCGATAAGCGCGATCCACCATGGTGTTAACTAGGTAACTTAAGTACAAGCGCAGCCTAGTTAACACCATGGTGGATCGCGCTTATCGATTATCTTCTAACTGGTCATCGTCATCGTCATCGTCATCGTCATCGTCATCGTCATCGTTATCGTTATCGTTATCGTCATTATCATTAAACCTACCGTAAACACGCAGTGTTGCAGAGGAACCAGTTGTGTTTGCTTTATTTTTCGCTTTACACTTGTAAGTCCCTTCCATCCCTTTTGTGACGCTTAAAAATTCCAGAAATGATTCTCCTTCGTGATTGAATTGATTGATACCAGATGGCAGGTCAGCATTATTAAAAACCCAGACTAATGTTGGTGTTGGCACACCTGAGGCTCGGCAACTAAAGTTCACAGAGTTTCCCTCGGTAACAGACTGGTTTATTGGAGGCTTTGTGATCTGGGGAGATGCTTAAATTACAAAACAAACAAACAAACAAAATTAATAAGGTTTGCATAGTCCATTTTAACCCTATTTATCCAACCTTTGATAAAACGACGAAACAACCACAACAACAAAATCAAAACAAAACACGTGATATTCAAGCCTATTTTTGACCAAGGTCAATTTTTCCAAAGGTTTGCTTCGATTTCAGCATAAAAAAGATATCGTTTAGCCTTAAGTTGTCCCAGTTGTCCCAATAACATTCATCCTTTTCTTGTTGGTTGTTGAGTGTGATGTAAAAAAAAAAAATTTCAATGACTATCAGTTTCTCTTTTTTAACAGTATATATTGAATTCCAAAAGCTATTAGGCGATGATGATCAAAACAATGTAAAACATTTGCATTCTGAAATAGAAAAAAGAAAGGAAATCTGTCATTTGATGTATCCAAATTGCGTATTTTAACATGAGTTCACGAATAAAAATGTTAGAGTGGACCACAGCATTTGGAATTTCTCAATAGCGGGAGGTATTTTATTTGTTTATTTGGTCACGGATTTAGCTTCATTTGCAATCTGGGTGTGTGTAAGTCAGAATCAACTGCACGTGACCAGGAACCCTTTTCTAGAAAAAAGAGTACTATGTTGGTAATTTGAAACGAGTTATATGAATGTTCGTTTGAAATCTCTTTCCAACTTCAATCATTAATATTGACGTAATGATACACTCCTATCGAAGTTGATGTACTACCTTTAACACTAATGAAAATTTATCATAACATCATGACTCCTTAGTTCCTTGGTCATTGATATTTTTAAAGGAAATGGATGAAAAGAGAGTAAAAGAGAGGTCTATTTAAATTTGGCTAAAACTTCAAAAACAAACGCTTTTTTAAGTTACAAGTTTGCTTAATGACGTAAACTACAATATAGAGTTTACCTGTTACATCGATCCAGAAGGAAGAGTTTGCTTCGCCATAATCATTTTTAGCAGTACATTCATAATTGCCTCTATCTTTCAGTGTAGCTTGTCTAATAATCAAGGTGTTGTTTTTACTAAGTAGCACTCCATCCTTGGTCCAGTTGACAGATACTTCTGGATCACCTCTCAAATAACACTTTTTTGTAAATGTGGAGTTCAATGCAATGGTGAGATTTCTAAACTCATCACTAACACGGGGTGGAACTGCAAAGTAAGCACATAAATACAAATTGCAAAATAAGAAGCCACCCAACGGGCCCCCCCCCCACACCCACAAAAAGAAAAATAATAAGTTTAAACAAATTAATAAATAACAATTTGAAAAGAAGAAACCAAGAACTATTTTTTGATCATATCAAACAAATACTTGATCAGCAGGGATTTGCTAAAGCAAAGGCATAGAAAAAACCAGGAAAGATTTATTACTCGACGTTTCGGGGTCATCGTGACTCCATTATCAAGAGACTAGTTTAAAAACATGCAAATAAGGAAAGGTACAAGAATAGCATAAATTAGAATGAACGGCTTAAACAAACACCTTGGCGCGGATGGAATCCGTTTGCACGTTCAGTGTTGGCTTACGCATGCGAATATACAACATTTCATTAACAAGGCAATCAAATTTGCCGTTACATTTCGCGATGACGTTGAATTGCTCGATCAAGCGTTCAGGCATTTCACTATTGTGCTGGAGGTGGTAGTGTTTGTAGATAGAAGATGATTTCCTTGTGTGCCCTTCTACGCGCTCGTGTAAGTGACCACGAGTGTAGCCCACATACCCTGCATCACACAGGTTACATTTAAATTCATAAACGATACATTGTTGGTTAACAATAGGGGGCTTAATTTCGTGTTGCTTAAGCTGTTGATCGAGCTTAGGGCTAACGAACACTGGTTGGACAGTCACGCTTAACTTCGAGCTTAGACTGTTCAGTTGTTGTTTAACATGATTAGCTGACGACTGGTCCTTGAAGGGTAACACTAATCTCACAATCTCCGATGGTACGTCTGGTGATGGACAGGGCTCTGCAGATGAAATCCTTCTCTCAACGAACCGCTTGATTGTAGTTTCAACCAGTGGCTTTGGGTATTTCAAGTTATGAAAAACCCCTCTAAGGCGGTCACATTCCTCGGAGAAGAAAGACCAGTTAGAAGATAATCGATAAGCGCGATCCACCATGGTGTTAACTAGGTAACTTAAGTACAAGCGCAGCCTAGTTAACACCATGGTGGATCGCGCTTATCGATTATCTTCTAACTGGTCTTTCTTCTCCGAGGAATGTGACTGCCTTAGAGGGGTTTTTCATAACTTGAAATACCCAAAGCCACTGGTTGAAACTACAATCAAGCGGTTCGTTGAGAGAAGGATTTCATCTGCAGAGCCCTGTCCATCACCAGACGTACCATCGGAGATTGTGAGATTAGTGTTACCCTTCAAGGACCAGTCGTCAGCTAATCATGTTAAACAACAACTGAACAGTCTAAGCTCGAAGTTAAGCGTGACTGTCCAACCAGTGTTCGTTAGCCCTAAGCTCGATCAACAGCTTAAGCAACACGAAATTAAGCCCCCTATTGTTAACCAACAATGTATCGTTTATGAATTTAAATGTAACCTGTGTGATGCAGGGTATGTGGGCTACACTCGTGGTCACTTACACGAGCGCGTAGAAGGGCACACAAGGAAATCATCTTCTATCTACAAACACTACCACCTCCAGCACAATAGTGAAATGCCTGAACGCTTGATCGAGCAATTCAACGTCATCGCGAAATGTAACGGCAAATTTGATTGCCTTGTTAATGAAATGTTGTATATTCGCATGCGTAAGCCAACACTGAACGTGCAAACGGATTCCATCCGCGCCAAGGTGTTTGTTTAAGCCGTTCATTCTAATTTATGCTATTCTTGTACCTTTCCTTATTTGCATGTTTTTAAACTAGTCTCTTGATAATGGAGTCACGATGACCCCGAAACGTCGAGTAATAAATCTTTCCTGGTTTTTTCTATCAAACAAATGCTTCCAAAAACCATCTTAGTCAGGCTATATTGCTAGCTTAGCCATGAAACCATCATATTTTTAGAGCAGGAACAAACGAACAAGTGTAAAGACTTTCCAGTTCTTTGCAATAAATAAGTAACTGTGGACTCCGACAGAACATTTAGTCAAAGTGTGCCATCGAGGCCTGTGTGGGATTCTAGCCCATCACAGTCAAACAGAGTGTTTCACAAGGTCATGCATATCTACCGACCTTATAACACGAAGAAGACACAATATGCAGTAAAAAAGTCACCATCCATAAAACGACGAAACAACAACAGCGACAAAAAATCGAAACAAAAAACACGATGTTCAAGCCTATTTTTGAGCAAGGTCAATTTCTTTCAAAGGTTTTCTTCGCCTTCAGTATAAAAAGATATTGTTTGCCCTTAAGTTGTCCCAGTTGTCCCAGTAATATTCATCCTTTTCTTGTTGGTTGTTGAGTGTGATGTTAAAAGAACATATGTTCAATGACTATCAGTGTCCTTTTGTTAACAGGATAATTGAATTCGAAAAGTTATTAGGCGATGATGATCAAACAATGTAAAACATTTGTATTCTGAAATAAAAAAAAAGGAAAGAAAATCTGTTATTTGTCGTTTCCAAATTGTGTGTTTTATTATAAGTTCACGGATAAAAATGTAAACATGGACCACAGGATTTGCAATTTCTTTGGTCACAGATTTAGCCTCAATAACAATCTGGGTGTGTGTAAGTCAGAATCAACTGTACGTGTTCAGGTACCCTTTTCTAGAAAAAAAGAGTACTAATGTTGGTAATTTGAAGCAAGTTATATGAATGTTCCTTTAAAATCTCTTTCCAGCTTCAATCCTTAATATTTAGGTAATGACACATTCAAAGCCAAGTTGATGAACTACCTTTAGCACTAATGAAAATGTATTATTAGATCATGACTCCTTAGTTCCTTGATCGTCGATATTTTTAAGGAAATGGATGAAAAGAGAGAAAAAAATAGGTCTATTTAAATTTGGCTTAAGCTTAAAAAACAAACGCTTTGTTAAGTTACAAGTTTGATAAATGACATAAACTACAATATAGAGTTTACCTGTGACATCGATCCAGAAGGAAGAGTTTGCTTTTCCATAATCATTTTTAGCAGTACATTCATAATAGCCTTTATCTTTAAACGTCGCTTGTCTAATAACTAAGGTGTTGGTTTTATTAAGTAGCACTCCATCCTTGGTCCAGTTGACATATACTTGTGGATCACCTCTCAAATAACACTGTTTTGTAAATGTGGAGTTCAATGCAATGGTGACATTTCTAAACTCATCACTAACACGGGGTGGAACTGCAATGTAAGCATATAACCAAAATTACAAAATAAGAAGCCACCCAACGGCCCCCCCCCCCCCCCCCCCAACCCACAAAAAGAAAAATAATAAGTTTAAACAAATTAATAAATAACAATTTGAAAAGAAGAAACCAAGAACTATTTTTTGATCATATCAAACAAATGCTTCCAAAAACCATGTTAGTCAGGCTATATTGCTAGCTTAGCCATGAAACCATCATATTTTTAGAGCAGGAACAAACGAACAAGTGTAAAGACTTTCCAGTTCTTTGCAATAAATAACTAATCAAGTTGTGTAAAGAAATACTGAACACTTGACGAACACACCTTTCACAGAAATGTCAATGTCTTTGGTGTCAAAGCCTGCTGCATTCTCTGCCTTACAAGTGTACCGCCCTTCGTCCTCCTTTGTTATCTCAGAAAAGAAGAGAGACAAACTCTGTTTATGGAATGTTTTATTCTTGAGCCAGGTGATCTGTGGTTCAGGCCGACCCTCCACAACTTTACACGTCAAATTCACACTGTTTCCTTCTATGATGAGATTGCTTGCTCCAGAAATATCCACTTTTGGTCGAACTAAGAGGTAAATAAATAACATGTCCTTGGAAAATCGGAGGTATTCCAATATCATTTACACTGAACACATTAAACGCCATAACTTAATGAACATTTGACAATAACACTAGCGCTTGATATGAAATATAATCTTTTGTCAGATCGCGGACATAACTTCGTATTGAGGTCTACATACTCCTATTATCTCGGACCAGTTTACGAAAGACAGAAGGCGCAGCCATGGGTAGTATGGTCTCTGCTGTTATTGCTATAGAGTTATAGGAGCAATCCATAACCTTATCATCCTATAATCTTGGTTCGCGAAAACGCTGATAGCTTGCTACAGCATTTGAAGAACCGAAAGCATTCCATTCACTTCACTGATGTTACAAATAGCAACAGGTCACTCGCCATCCATGGCACTGCATCTTTAAAACAAGAGCCCGAGGTTTAAAAGATTCCCTGTGAGTAAGGCAAAGTTTACATCAGCAGAACAAGCAGACCTATGCAAGTAATGGTTAAACGAGTAATATGGCAGATGGAGAAACGACATGCTAAGACAAAGGCCTCTGCAGTTTCAGAAGACACCTGGAAACCACCTGCTCAGGACTAAAGTAGAGTACATTGATTGTGATGCTATTATTATACACGCAGGGTAAAAGAGGCCATCCACGTAAGACTTTGCATGTTACAACATAAATTGGACATTGGGGTAGACATCCCGGAAACATGGATGCGGACCACAAGAAACACAAAACATAATAACTTTGCGACAGTGGACTCCAACACAACATTTAGTCAAAGTGTGCCATCGAGGCCTGTGTGGGATTCTAACCAATCACAGTCAAACAGAGTGTTTTATAAGGTCATGCATATCTACCGACCTTATAACACGAAGAAGACACAATATGCAGTCAAAAAGTCACCATCCACATCCAAAGTAACTTAATGGCGAGACAAACGATTATATTGCATTCAGAAAGTGAATTCGTCACCATGACCAACCGAAGTCATTTTAAGCACATTACCAGTTTGAAAAGAAACTGTAAACTTAATCAAAGGGCACTTACTTTGAGTTATGACGAGGAAACTACATTGTTGACAAATAACTTAAGTATAATTTTTTTTTACATGACACCCTACTTTCAAACCACTCTAATCAACAAACATATTCACGATAAAATGTCGCCTCACATGGCTCCGGATATGAACAGCGAAAAGGTTTTGAAACTGAGTAAATTAAATTAATTACATTTGAAGAATTGACTTTATGACTTCCTATATATTATTAGTTACTCACTTATAACTGTCACTAGTATGTTTTTATCTCTTCTTGTGACCCTCTGTGGTCCTTTAGTTTGTTTCATGGTACAGATGAATGTTCCATGGTCTTCAGGCTTTACAAAACCAATACGCAGGCTGCCGTTGGATACTTGAGTGAACCGTTTCGGGTCTAAGGACTTTCCTCCTTTCTTACTCCAAGAAATCTGTGGACTCGGTGTTCCATCAGCACTACAGCTTATAATGCCAGACGTGTGGGCAATAAAGGTTTGTTGGTTCAACGTCTTCTCAGTAAATCTTGCTGTTGAAAGCAGTAATGAAAAGCACCAATATCATAGCTATACTGTTGAAAGGTCAGAAGTGTCCTTGTCTTACATGGCATTGTTAAGCCTATTTCTACAAGATAAAAAGATGTGCTTTCATACCATTAATGTAGACAATGTAATATTGAACATATTCCAATCTCTGGCATTCATATACTCCTCCATCAGACAGTTGCACATCATCAATGACCAGATCACCATTGTCTTCAGCCCTGATCCTTTCAGAAGTAGAGTTTGTTATTTCAAGCTTTCGCCTATTGATGACCCATCTAGCATGATTGGTTTTATTGTGTATAGAGCAGTGAAGCTTTTCTCTGCTACCAATATCAAAATAGAGTTCATCTCTTCTCAACACTTTCTGGTTTTCTGCAAAAAAGTGGTTCAGTTTAGATGTTGTCAAACTAAGTCAAATCTGTTTTAATCAACACCACAAGAAGAGAGAAAAATTAAATATATTTACCTGTACTAAAGCTTACATTGAGAATTTTTTAACTTTGTTACATTACTTTAAACAAAGTCACGTTAGCCATTATCAGAGTAATGTAACCTTTGAACAGAATAATATTGCATCCAAAAAAAGGTATGAAACCCATTAAAAAAATAGGTAACCCTCAACTGAAGTCAGGTGATCTTACGAGCAGTCATATTACTTTCATGAGAGTCATGTACACCCTAGCTAACGTCATTTCACTTCAAGATCAAGCTGAATCAAAAGTAGGTAAGTTCCTTAAAAAACTGTGATGCTGCGTCGATAGAGGAGTATAACACCCGCCATGACGAAGGGCCTACGCTCGAAATTCAAATTTGAAACTCTTTACGGGGACAAGTTTATATTATCAACTCGCTTGATAAAATCAAAATCATCTAAGTCATTTTAAGCCGACTCATGTTACCCTTAACCAAATCATGTCATCCCCAGACGAGGTCATGTCGCTATCTTAGGCGTAAATTCTGCGAACAGATATTGGCTTGTCCACGAGTCATAGGTTAGCAAAATGTCTTTAGAAATGGTCTTCTGGTCATCCGTGTATCTCAATTTACTCTGATTTCCCTTTACTTTAGAGGGTCAATGGGAGGAAGAAAGACAACCACGAAAACCAGAATCACTAATCAGACCTAAAAATTTAGTTGCTTACTTGGTTGACACAACACGTGAGAACCCTTGTCATTCGATTGACATTGAGATGGAATATTTAACTTTCCATCAATGCGATCACATGATGCAAGTTCTGACTCCTCTCCGGTGCAAGAGACATCGGACATTGCATAAGGTATTCCCTCATCCCCTACGTCTGACCCAAAGAATTCCGCCAAAGCCTCTTCAAAGCCAAGTTGACGACAAATAACTTTAGCATCATTAAAATCCCATTCATTCTTGCATATCTTCGCCCATTTTCCCTTGTAAAATACTTCCACTCTTCCTCCATACTCCACATTTGTGCCATTCAAGCGAACAGGAACTTATGAAATTACAAAAAGTTCAATCCATTAAGATGGAAAATACTAATTGTCAAGAATCAAGAATCACGAAATGATACATAGTTCATGCTAGTGTGGCAAAGTGTTTTGTCTTCAGTGAAATTCTGGATGCAAATTACTCAGTACTCCTACGTTGGATGTATCGTTCGTTGTCGTATGTGGTTTACTCGTGCTTCAAATTGTAAAACCAGATAGTCTTTTTTTTAATTTTGGCAGATTCAAGACGTGTTTTCTTGGCCTTTAAAACGTTTACTTTCAGAGAACACAATAGGGTGATTTAGATTCATTTTTTTAAAGCAATTCCTATAGAATAATCAAGAAAAAGGCGTTAAGTTTAGTATAAGTGGAGTGAGAAATTGTGAAATTTCCTAGTTGCACGAAAGAGAGAGAAAAAAAGGAAACTAGAGGGATGAGATGGTTTTAAGGAAACTTACTGAAGGTTTTGGAGCTCGAGTTTGTGAAACCCAAATGCATGACTGCGCAGCTAGCTTCTTATTTCGGCCGTAATTCAACTATAATCTTGTTAGGGTGTAAACAGTAGAAAACAACTAAATTATTGGCGTTAGATACCTTTTGAGAACCTAAAAGATACCCGACGACGAACAGTCATTGATCTCGGGAAAATTTTAATCTCCGGAGTGTGAGTAAATCTATCAAGTTACCATCTTTGGGGATCATGTGGATATTAAATGAGTGAAATTTATTATTACCTTTACAAATTTGTTGTTTTTTTCCCAAGTTGCTTTGACATGTGGTCGGAATGGAACAATTGTAGTGGGTGGACATCTTTGAAGCATTGCCACGTTCTGCGAACCATGTATAGTAGCCCATGGCCATGCAGGTTTGGATTTCATCTGCGTCATCCCATTGACTGGTACAAAGCTTTTGCCAGCTGCTGTTTGAGAATATCTCCATCGTACCGACAGATGGGTTCTTCTCCGTTTCAAAACGCAAGGGAAATTCTTCAAAATATTCAACAACGACAAAAAAAGGATTGATAACTAAGGATAAAAATAAACAACGTGGACTACTTTAGCTTAGGTAAATTCTTGTGTTGATGATGTCTCCATATAATTACTTAGTAACAGTAGTCCTTGCATTGTTGAAAAGTTTCTTTTCAGAAGAATTTCCTGCTAAGCTAACATGATTTTCTTTCCTCGTAGTTATGAACACTACTGAACTAGTAGTGGAAATAAAGCCTGAAAAAATTAAGGCCCGTACGGGATTTGAACCCATGACCTCTGCGATACCAGTGCAGCGGTCTACCAACTGAGCTAACAAGCCAACGAGGAGCTGGCCCTTATGTTGGATCAAAATAAACCTTCGAAGTGGTGAATAATGGCTGTAAACAAATGAAAATCATATGAGTGCACCGCGGTTGAAGAAACGAACAGAGAATCAATCCTTGCAGTTCTGAAAACTACTGAACTAGTAGTTAAAATAAGGCCTGAAAAAAGTCAGGTCCGTACGGGATTTGAACCCACGATCTCCTACAGGCCTGAACTTTCTCAGGCCTTATCTCAATTACTAGTTCAGTAGTTTTCAGAACTGCGAAGATTGATTCTTTATTTGTTTTTTCAACCGCAGTGCACGCATATGATTTTCATATGTTTACAGCCATTATTTTCTTTGCCAGCAGGTCAATTAGTAACTGAGGTTCTTGCATTGTTAAGAATGTTTCTTGTCAGTAGATGATAGTTAACATCACCGGCTTTGCTAACAAAGTATTGCTTATGGGCAGTTCAACGACATTCGTAATTGCCATTGCGCAGGTGATTCAAACTTCTTATTGAGCGGCCACGAAAACTTGTGCTAAAAATTTAGTACCTATTGTAGTACTAATTTTAGTAAATATTTGTTTTGTTTCTTCCAAGAAAAGCATGGTGAATTCCATACATGTACAGAGTTCGTGCATTCATTAAGGATTTCTGACTTAAAATGAAATCCTTACTTTTAATAACTTGTGCATTTCACATATTTTACCTGGATGATTATGTGATTAAAATTCAAATTCAGCAGTTCCGTTCATTTGTTGTTGCTCTTATTTTTATTCCTTTGTTTGTTCATTTTTGTTTCAACTACGAAATCAGAAAAGCTGCAGTTTGTATGTTACCTTCATGGCAACTGGACATGTTACTACACTCTCTCAGCAGTGCTCTGATCCCATCGCAGTGTTTCCCACCATATGCTGGTTCTGGATTGGTACATTCTCTTTTTCTTGTTTGTATACCACCAAATGGCTTAGAACAGATACTCCAGGAGTTCCACTTACTCCAGCCACCATCCACTAACAATGTTGTCAACAAAAACAGTTGAGAAACAAACACAGACGACATGTTTGAATAATTTAACAAAATACAGTTTGTAAGACAGTGGCGCAGTCTGTATTTCTACCTTCCTCTATAATTACTTGAATGCTCAAGTTAACATTTAGTTGCAGCAAGCTCATTAATTTGGTATTTGGCGATTCTGTAGGGTTGGCATTGAACTTAGAAATGATGCCTTAGCCAAGCAGAATATCACCGTTAGACTGTGTTTTCTTGAAAAACTTATTTCCTTGGAAATGATCAAAATAGTAATTTAACATACAAACAACGGGGTAACATACTCGCAGATGTGCATGGAACGGCTACCAGTGTGAGCAATAGAACAGCCTGAGGATTCATGACAATCTTCATGGAAAAATCAAAGTAAAAGAATAAAAACATTAACGACGAAGAAATCGGAGCGTTTTTCAAACGGAACTGGAACACTTAATAATAGAAATTTAATTAGTCACGCTTCGATTAGCTGTGTCACTTGTTCGTCAAAACATTCCTAAAGCCATATGTAGTAAATTCTAATTAGACAAGTTCAACTGGAATTTTATAACCAATTTGTTCGGTATAAAAATAAAAATCACATCGAAAATAACAGAGACATTTTATAACGAAACTTGATAAAGCACCGTTGAACATCAATGTAAAAGTTCGACGCGTTTCAAATGAGCATTTACCTCTGGCGCTACATACTTCTTAAAATAAATCCTCCGTTACTCTTCTGTTGAGATAGAAAAGGCAATAGGGCTCATGAGAATTTATATAATTATAATGATGATGATATTGGTAATAATGAAAAAAATATCATTTATGAAGATGATATAAATAACAATGATATATAGACATATAATAATCATGTAGCTTTTTTCCTAGCTCGACGAGCAATCTTCAAATTAGCATATTATTTTTTCTGTTCATCACAATTTAAACTTATGACATCATTATTATTTAAAAAAAAGCCAATCAAGTAATACATCTTTAGTGCGTACAACCATCTGGTAACAAATACCATGATTAGCTTACTGACGTCACTGGACTGT